TGGTTTTCCTTCCCCCCCTGGGAGTCGTATATCTCTTAGGAGTTTCTTTCTGTCCCATGGCACCCGGTCCAGAAACAGACCGGGGGGTGGCCTAGCATAAACCCAAACATCCTGACGGATGGGGAACCAGACAGGGAAAATGGGGCTCAATAGCTCCAGAGCTCCATCGCGTCTTCGCTGGTGTGTGCGGGTTGTAAGATCAGCCCCAATAAAAAAGTAGTCTGGCCTCTCCAGACCTCATTTGATCTCAGACCGTGGACCTTGGAACAATGCTGGATTTGTCTGGCACTCTTGGGGAAAAGTGCCACCTTTGTTGGCTCGGTACCTCCAGCGAGACTGACGCATTCTGGGCAAGAAGATCAGGCAAATACCTAACAGCATCTCTGTCCGCTTATAGCAACGAGGCCATGCCACTCGCTGCCCATGCCGCGTGCCCCATGTTCCATACCTCACGTACCCATCGCCATGTCAGAATGTAGGTAGCAATTAGCAATTGCCAACCTCAGCAATCCATTGGGACTGACTGACTGCCTTTACCTCCTTACCTACGTTGCTACCTACCTACCCTGCACAGCACAGCAGGTAGGCGGGTACTTTGCACAATGAATGGGGAAGCTGCTTCTGCTCCTGCTTCTCCTTGTGCCCTTTGTACATCGGGCATGGTTGTCCGTTACATGCCATGCCCGAGGGGAAGTAGCTACCTTCATAGAGATGCTCCGTACCTACCTCACCTCGACTTGCCCGTCTCTCTCTCCTCCTCTTAATAAGTGTGCCACCATCCCCCTACTCCTCTTCCTGGCCTTTTGACCTCTCCTTCTACTTTACCCCTCCTCCTCCATCTCCTCCTCTCTTTTCCAACCCGCAAAGCTCCCAGTGCACCTTGTAGGAGTCCTCCCATCATCCATTGGTAACCTCGCCTCTTCCAAGCTTCGTCGGCACCGTAGAGCTATCAGTATCTCCTACATCGTCTTCGACGGCCCCTTTGCAGACAACCTCACCTCGAGAACGCTATTCAAACTTGGACCCTCCAGCAAAGCTCGTCCGCCAGCTTTGCCAATCTTTCAGCTGAGACGCTTCGTCCGCGCTGAGCTGAGTACGAATCCCGGCCGCGAGTGGTGTGGACTGAGCTTCAGGCACCGCCAAACACCCCGCTCTTCTCCCCACTAATATCCTGGGCTTGTCCTGTACGTCCCGTTCGCTCCGCCCGTCAAAACAGTCAAGACCTCCTCCTGATCCTCCGTTGCCTTCCCCTCGTTCCTCGCTCGTCACGTACGACCGAGTGGTGTTTCGATTTCCGCATTCTTGTTCCTCGTATTTTCAGAGGAGGGGTTCTCCAGCATAGCTAACTGAACGGGGTTTGACAGTTCCCCAGACCAGTTCGAGGACTTGATCGAGTCAATTGACCCCCTAGTTCATCACCCCTTTACTCCATCGTACGACAGCTATTCAATATGTCGGCAGCTACGGAAGAGCGCCTCCCTGTGCGGGAGCGTCGCCCCTCGACGAGCGCCCCCATTGTTGATATCCAGGGCTCTGTCGGCCCGGCTGGCATTTCGCGCCCCAAGCACAAGAGAACTTTCACCGGTTTCGGTGCTGGAGAGATCAAGAGCGTCGAGGGTGAGTTTGTTCTGTTTTCTCCATTCAATTGCATGACTTCCGGGGGAGGGGGATAGCCGCCATGTGCTCGCCAACTTCCGAAAGATGTGGACGAGCGAGCTCTCGCGCAGCTCTCGTGGAGCTTGGAGGGGCAGCTCCTCAGCCCGGGCCCAAATACCCCGCACTGATCGTCGCGAGCTCCATCACGCCACACTAGGATCCAGTAGCTTCGTTTTCCCCTGTCACACATCCTCACTTACACCGATGTTACTACCAAATACATTGCCAACCTCGAACCACAGGCTAATGACCTTTGAACAGCTTCCATCCCTGAGCCTCAGCGCGAGGCTTGGTCTAAAGCCCAAGGCGGCCCTTTCAAGACAAAGGATGAGTTCGAAAAGGAGGTCGTTCGTCACGTCGAGACCACTTTGGCTCGCAGCATGTTCAACTGTGACGAGACGGCTGCCTACTCAGCCGCCAGTTTGGCCTTCCGTGACCGCCTGGTAAAGCAGTGGAACAAGACTCAGCAGCGCCAGACCACTGTGGACGGAAAGCGTGTCTACTACTTCTCTCTCGAGTTCCTCATGGGCCGTGCCCTCGACAATGCCATGTTGAACGTTGGTTTGAAGGACATTGCCAAGGGTGAGTTACAAAGGGGCGGGCGCAGAACCGTGTTTGGAAGATGGTATGCTGAAATTGTGGTGCAGCTGGTCTTGATGACCTAGGTTTCCGCATCGAGGACGTAATTGAGCAGGAGCATGACGCTGCTCTTGGAAACGGTGGCCTGGGTCGTTTGGCTGCTTGCTTCCTCGACAGTCTTGCGTCTCTCAACTTCCCCGCCTGGGGCTATGGTTTGAGATACAGATACGGTATCTTCAAGCAGGAGATTATCGATGGCTACCAAGTTGAGGTGCCGGACTACTGGCTTGACTTCAATCCTTGGGAGTTCCCCCGTCACGATGTTACTGTCGATGTGAGTTGACCAGAGAGAAATCGGTTTCGAACAAGTGCTGATAATCCCTCAAGATCCAATTCTTTGGCCACGTCACCAAATCGACAGACTCAAACGGCAAGACTATCGCCAGCTGGGAGGGTGGTGAGACGGTCACCGCCGTGGCATACGACGTCCCTATCCCGGGATACGCTACCCCTTCAACCAACAACTTGCGTCTGTGGTCCAGCAAGGCTGCCAGCGGAGAGTTCGATTTCCAAAAGTTCAACAATGGTGAGTACGAGAGCTCAGTTGCCGACCAGCAGCGCGCCGAGACGATCAGCGCAGTTCTGTACCCCAACGACAACCTTGAGCGTGGAAAGGAACTTCGTCTGAAGCAGCAGTACTTCTGGTGTGCTGCCTCTCTTTACGACATCGTTCGTCGCTTCAAGAAGTCCAAGCGCCCTTGGAGAGAGTTCCCCGACCAGGTCGCCATTCAGCTGAACGATACACACCCTACTTTGGCTATTGTTGAGCTTCAGCGCATCCTGATTGATCTGGAGAAGCTTGAGTGGGATGAGGCATGGAACATTGTCACTGCAACTTTTGGCTACACAAACCACACAGTCCTACCCGAGGCTCTGGAGAAGTGGCCCGTCGGTTTGGTTCAGCACTTGCTCCCCAGACACTTGCAGATCATCTACGACATCAACCTGTTCTTCCTCCAGAGCGTCGAGAAGATGTTCCCCAACGACCGCGAAATCCTCAGCAGGGTCTCGATCATAGAAGAGTCGCAGCCCAAGATGGTGCGCATGGCATACCTTGCAATTGTTGGCTCTCACAAGGTCAATGGTGTAGCTGAGCTGCACTCTGATCTCATCAAGACCACCATTTTCAAGGACTTTGTCAACATCTACGGTCCTGACAAGTTCACCAACGTCACCAACGGCATTACCCCGAGACGTTGGTTGCACCAGGCCAATCCTCGCCTGTCTGACCTCATTGCATCCAAGACTGGTGGCAACTACGACTTCCTGAAGGACCTGACAAAGTTGAACCAGCTTGAGCTCAGTGTCAACGACAAGGAGTTCCGCAAGGAATGGGCCGAGATCAAGTACGCCAACAAGGTCCGCCTCGCCAAGTACATCAAGACCACAACAGGCGTCAGCGTTAACCCTGCGGCACTCTTTGACGTCCAAGTCAAGCGTATCCACGAGTACAAGCGTCAGCAGCTCAACATCTTTGGTGTCATCCACCGCTACCTCACCCTCAAGGCCATGTCGCCGGAGGACCGGAAGAAGGTTGCTCCCCGTGTTTCCATCTTTGGAGGAAAGGCGGCACCTGGCTACTGGATGGCTAAGCAAATCATTCACTTGGTCAACAGTGTTGGTTCAGTAGTCAACAATGACGAGGAAATCGGCGACCTTCTCAAGGTCATCTATCTGGAGGACTACAATGTCAGCAAGGCAGAGATGATCATTCCTGCGTCTGACCTGAGCGAGCACATCTCCACTGCCGGTACCGAGTAAGTGAATTCCCTTGTCCAACGCCGACGGCGTCTCGGCTAACGTGCCATGCAGGGCATCTGGTACGAGTAACATGAAGTTTGTTCTCAATGGCGGCTTGATTATCGGCACGTGCGACGGCGCCAACGTAAGTGAACCCGATGGAATGGAACTGGCTGGACGATCGTTTCTAACACTAGCCTAGATTGAGATCACTCGTGAGATTGGCGAGAACAATATTTTCCTCTTTGGCAACCTTGCCGAGGATGTGGAAGATCTCCGCCACGCACACAACTACGGAACCCACTCGATTGACGAGAACCTTGCAAAGGTCTTCTCTGCCATTGACAGTGGCACGTTCGGCTCCGTGTCCGATTTCCACGCGCTAGTCTCGGCTGTCCGTGACCACGGAGACTACTACTTGGTATCAGACGACTTCAACAGCTACATTGAGACGCACCAACTTGTCGATGAGGCGTACAAGAACCAAGAGGAGTGGATCACAAAGTCCATTACCAGTGTAGCTCGCATGGGCTTCTTCAGCAGTGATCGCTGCATCAACGAGTATGCCGAGGAGATCTGGAATGTCGAGCCTCTTAAGGTTGAGGACTAGGTAGACTAGACTATAGCGCTATAAAGACAAGACCCAGGCGGCGTGAAGTGACCTAGAAGGGGGGATGGCTGGTCAGGCGTGTACGGAACCGAGTACCTATTGCACTATTGCACTCGAAACACTTGAAGAAGGCGGGGCCTATAGGGAACAGTGTTAAATAGTATCTTTCTTTTGTATAGTTTATGAGAATGCCCAAAGACTGGTGTCCGCAACGATTGAAACCGTGCACAGTAATGTGTTGACTGAGTGTGAAGTGAGCCTGTGTGTTACCTTATTTTCCAGATGACTCAGCAGTCAAGGCAGCGATTGGATTTTTTTTTTTTTTTTTTTGGAATGGCCTCGAACGGCAACCATTGTTGGAAACGGAGCAGGGTGACCAGGGCAATTGCAACGTGAACGTTTCGACAAAGGAAGTGGAAACAATGGGGCGCATGTTTTGCTTCACTGACGTCATTATGCGGCAATGTGGACGTCGCCCACAGTGACCAAGGGGAAAGAGGAAAAGGACAACAGACCAGGACCCCTCTCTCTCCATTGCTCCAAGGAGTACCTCATTCTGGGACGGATCGATTCCGGGTACTACTTCCAAGCTTCCGGCAACAGGACGCGCGACGCCGCGAGAAAAGGGCGGTCAAGGATCATACTTGTTTCGAGGGGGGAGGAGAGGGGATCTAGAGCCAACTTTTTCCTTCCCAAACACTCATCGCTAACCAGCAAAAAGTGCTCTGGAACTTTGGAAGGCTTCCCGGGCCCAATCGTGCCAATCCAAACCGAAATAATTGTGCAGTCTTCCGGATTTGCTTGGTTCGGCACCCCGCGGGTGGATGAGCAGACGAGTAAGCCGTGTAGGTACAAGTTTCCTTGCTTGCATGCCTTTGCGAAACAATGGAAACAAGTTTAAGAAGACATTTTGGCTGCGCGCTACATATGCGTGTGTTCGAAAAAAAAAAGAGTATGTGCATTTGGTTTGGCCGTCCCGCCTGCCGGCGTACGTCCCCGTTTGGGGCGTAAGACAACACCGATCCGTTGCGGCATGTCGGGAGCGAGTGAGATTGGTCCGGGGGACAACCTCCGGGGAAGGAGGTCAGGTTTATATTGGGTTGAATGCTGTCGTCATCTTTGCAAATGTGGGAAAAGTCGAGACCCTGCTTCTCCTTTCCTGCTAGGTTCTGGATCCGGATACCTATGGTTTTTTTTGTGGTGTACCAAGGGACCAACTCAAAACCAGCCCTGCTGGAGCCTGGTAGAGCAAAGACTGGAGAAGAGGTGCATAATGACATCAGAGGAACGACGATAACGAATGCTGGCCCTGGTTAGGTCCCTGATTCCTGCCTTCCCCCTTTTATCCGTCTGTCAAAACGGTATAAATCGGCCGGCATCGAAGAGACTTTTCATCTCGCCGAGTAGAGGGATACGCTGGCGGCTGAACTGTGGAATGCTTAGAACAGAGCCGTGGCCTTCGGCAGAGCAATACGCGTGCGGGATGTGATTTTGGCTTCAGAGTCGCATTCCCATGTCGAAGAAATGATTCGTGCAAATAAGTTATTTTGTTGATATGCGCTGATTCTGGTATCAGAAGAGAATTTCCAGGCGGCCGCCTTGATGCTATGAATTACGTGGTCAATGGAGGAACCTCATGGCCCTCGGCGCTAGTTTCGCACCGGCCGGGAGCTTAGACAACATCGGCCGCAACGCCGGCTCGTGAGCTTGCCTTGGTGTTGAATGCTTCTCTAGATCATGGAACGGAAGAGTCGTTTGGAATGGTTTGACGAATCAGCGTGTTGACAGGTCCAAATGAACGGGATGATCTTCGATACACATCAAAGAGTTCAGGGTCCAGAGGATGAAGGGTCCTTGGACCGTGTGCTTGTGTTCCCACCATTTCATCCTTTTCTGGTACACCTGCTGGCTGCATGAGGTAGGGAGAGAGTTGGAGGGTCCTTTTCGTACATTCTCCCGTCTCGCGCTGCACCGCGCCATTTTCTTCTTCTCTGCGGCTCGGATTAGCATCACCAAACGGATTACACACAGGTTGACCCCTGGAGGTTCCCGGCAGGAAGGGTCCAGTTCGAGATCCATCGCAGCGAAGCCAGGGCACAATGTGCCAAAAGTTGTGCGCATGTCACCCTCAGAGTTCCTGGGAAGCTTCTGAGTCCCGGGTGGGATGGTGCTGCTTGTCATGATCTTACTCCATCATGACGGATCTGAAAGGTAATTGTTGACTCGAAGGTGTCCACTCTGCAACCACACATGCAAACCAACGTCGCCGCTATGCATCGTTGTACCTGAGCTGGTCAAGAATGGTAGCCGAACATTGCAAATCCACGTGTCGCGTCTGGTGGGTGCACGCTGTGGGCGATGAATTGCGAATGCGGTTCCGTTATCACAATCGCCGAGACAGTCTGGAGATTGAGAGCATGACTTGGTACAAGCATGTCAAAACCGGTTCTCGTCGAGCATCCCAGATTGTCATTGATAATCCCGTCCCAACGGTGGTGAATCGAGATCCAGTATCACAATCATCTCGAAAAGGGCTTAGACTCATATATTGTTTTTCAACGTCTCGTGAGCTGGGGGGTCCATCAGTATCGAGGAATATAAAGAGCGTTAGTTATGCAGAGAGGTGTTACCCGCTCCTGTGCCGCGGAAGGGCTTGATGGGATCCATACCGTATTCTCTCCCTCGGAGCCCAATCAATGCGGCCGGACGTTTGTCCAGCTACAGCAGGTAATGCGCTGAATTGGGCATATTCAGGCCAGTCTAGAACATGCGGCTACTGTAGTCGGGGAAGCCCCGTGACGGGAATTTTGGGCTACCGCAGTTGCTTTGCGGCGGTCACACGGATTCTATACCGCTCGAGAGGATAAGAAGGGGCGTGTTATGTGCGCTGGGTGAGCTGTGTGACGGACCGTTTTCTCGATTCTCGATCTTCGCCTGAGAAGTCGATGTTGGGCGAGAGAGGAGACTGGGAGGGACTGGGACCATGGATCGAATAGCGTTATTGCCGGGGTAGTCTCTAGCTCCCTGCAAAACGGTGCGAGAGGTACGGCAAACGTGTTAGTGCTTGGGGGAGTCGTCGACGTTTCGGGGCGCTAGAAACTCGGACAGTGAGCGGCTAGTATCCCATTGCACGCTAAGCTGACAGGATGGACTCGATGGAGAGAGAACAGGGGCGGCTGTACTTGTGGTCTCTGGAGTCTGGATTAGCGGGACGGATCACAGACACACCCCTCCCCAGCCCGTCGTGCCCGTCAACGCGACACGACACAGGAAGGTTTCCATACCCCAGCACCATCTCGATGCGATCTCAAAATGACGTCAGAGGTTGCGGTGCTTTTTGTGGTGGTTTTCACACCTAGCCCCCCTGATGTGCCTGGCACCTGAGTGCCGTACGGAGTAGTGCAGTGGGAGGAAGAGCTTTCGGATGGATGCGTTCGCCGCGATGCAGCCTGGGCTCCTCTATATGTGTCTCGATATCAGATACGAATACCTACATAGCTTGTCGGAACAGACCGCTAAGGAATCCACTGTCAAGGTTGGTCAAGGGAGGATGATACTAGAGGTATGCGGGATGAATGATTATACCGGATTGAACATGTGCGCACATGCACAAGCGGCGGAGGTATCGCGTTGCGGATGGCAAATCTGATCTGGCATGGGAATTGGATACGCACCTGAGGATTATGCTCCTGCGACAGAGTTCGAGCCTCCGTAAGAAGGAGGTATGGTGTCTTGAATCCATGATGCTGGTAGTTCGACAGTTGCATCGACAGGTTGCTTGGTCGTGCTTGGTGCAAGGGGATGATTGATGGGGAACGGGGGAGGAGAATACTGTAAGTGAGGTAGGGGTGCCAGTAGAAAAAAGGTAGAAGAGAAGTTGGGGGCTAATTGGAACCGTTTGAGGTTCACCGTATCTTGAGGCTGGGGGCCACGGTCCGATGGTAAATTTCTCTGTGGTGTTTAAGTGCGGAGGAGCAAAACGGCAATTGAGCGATTTGGACGGGAAACGGCAAAAGTGCCTTTGAGGAAAACATGGCATTTTGGCAAGACAGGTTGGCAATCTCCCGTTGGCGTGCCTTCTGTCTGCTCATGGGTGTCCTATGCTCCCGCAAGGGGCGCGGGAAGGTGAGGATAAAGATTGGACCGTCGGGGAAGGAACCACGAACTAGTAGCTGCCAGTTGTGTTATCGTAGTCGCAGTGGCAACTTCAAGGCAGGCACGGCGGGCAGACCAAGACCATCATCGTCGATCTGTTATTGCTGGACGTTCCCAGATATTCCACGATTGCGCTTCCGTACCTCAAGGTGGTACACTAGAACCTCATGCTGATACTTCACCGTTGCCTTCCCTGCCGCGGGTTCACCGACCACTTGTCCAACGAACGTTGTGATTTGCTGTCTCGCGACTGCCCTGCCGCTAGGATAAAACAAGCCAGAGCATGCCGTCCGGTCTTGGGATTGGAAAGTTATGTGACCTGCGACCGGCTGGAGCGGTGCCTTGTCTAAATTCATCATTATCAAAAAAAAACAGAGCTACCTAGAAACGCCTTCTTCTGTCCATCTTGTCTGAGTTGCGCGTTGAACAAAATCTTGTTTTCCACGGCACGGCATTGTGGAAGGAAAGATTCTCAAGCTCGGCCCGTGGTGAGCTGAAAGTGAAATTGGCGGTGCCGCTGATGCTCAGGCCATTCCATGAAGCTTCTTTTGTGACAGGTCAACCTTTGGTTGTCTCTCGGTCATTTTTTGAGATATCTCGCAGCAGCTCTCTAGTCGTCTCATGTTATTACCATCTGCTCCCCAAACAGCAATCCACAAAGACCGAGGCTCGCGGCAAGAGACAATATACGCAACCTTACACAATCATAAGTTCAGCCTCATCTTGACTTGTTTCTCCTCGAACCTACGAGATCGGATCGGAAAGCAAGTCTCTCTACTTCTGGAGTACGCACTCACGAGTCATCCCGGACATTATGCTCCTCTCTGTGGTTGTTGTTGCCGTTGCCGTCGTCTCATCTCAGTCTCGGTCAAGTCCTTTTTACTTGGTCACCTGTGACTTGTTGGTTAGTCTGGTAATTGTGCACATTCAAGTCCCTTACCTTAGTACCTGGCATAGCTGCCGTCCCCATCTAACCTGCCTTTCTGTCCAGTCGGACCTTCTGTAGCCTGTACCATACTTATGTAGCCTGCTTATTACCTGGCCCTGCCCGGCCCTTTCCATTCACTGTGCCCATCTTGTACATGGAAGACAACGTTACCGCCTGCAAGTTCTCGGTTCAACAGAGAAACACCCCTCTCCGCCAGTAATATTCATCCGTAACCCGCCTGCCTTGATACTTCATTGGACAGGAAGATAGTAGCGGGGTTAGAGCAAGGTACAATTACCCCTGCCTTGTCTTCATTCCGACGCTTACCGTGCAAGTTCTTCCGTCTTTCACGCTCGGTTCAATGTCACTTCCAGAGCCAGCCAGTGTCTCTCCGTCTTCTGGCCGAATTGTGCACACCCCTCTCCCCTACTGTATGTCTTTCCCCCGCGAGGTACCTTTTCTCTCCCACTCAATCGCGCCTTCTGGGAATTATTGAAAAGCACTTTCCCCCATCAAGTACGGGAGTATTGCTCCTGTGTATTGCTTGACTCTTCGTTTCCTCGCATTTTTAGCCCGAATCGATTCTGAGTATATCTCTCTCTCTTACCCCCAAATCTCACATTCACGTCCAAAGGTATTTTCGAGAAGCAACACCAGAGCCACTTGCTGAAAGTCTCATACGCGTCCTTACCTCCATCTATCAACAGGTGTTGTTGTGCATCCACCCTCCAGCGGCATCCTCAGCTTCACCGCGGCAGCGAACGAGAGACGAGAACGACGACCTGATCGACACTTGTGCGATTTTGCTACCTGCATTCCCCACGTGCGCCCGCCACTCGTGCGCCCATCACCGCGGTCACCATTTGGTTTGAGCTTTCGCGCCCGGACTTGATCCCGAAGAGACTCAGAAAAAAAGAGAAAGTGAACTGCTTTGTATAGACAAAAAGAAGAGGGAAACATTGCAAAAGATACCTGAGAAAGAGCATCACCGACACCTTCAACTCTGTAAGTGAGCAAGCCTCCTAACAGCATATTATCGCCCGAGGAATATTTTTGAGCATCCCCCGCTGTTGCTCGCCAACATACTTCCCCCTTGCACTGAAAGTGCCCCCTGCGCCGTCTACGGTATGGGCAATTATTGAATTGGACGCCCTTGGCACCAAATGTCGACAATACCGGAAGAGCAAAAAACGGATTATGCATAGGCAAGAACGGCGAATGACGAAGGAGAAGGAATAGAACATGGGCGGACAGGATGGAAGGAAAAACCAGATTCTTGTTCCGCTATTGCTGTCGCCCCCTAGCTGCATTCGCTACCATTTACAGTACTCCGTGCTGCGTACTGCTTGCTTCCTTGCAAGAAAAGAAGTCTCGCTAATGCCGTTGCCACATTGTTCAGGTTGCTCCGGACCCCATACCACGTAAGGTATCCCAGAAAAGGCCCAGAAGCAGAAGCAGAAGCAGAAGGAGAAGAGACGCAGAAGCCGTGAGGTACCTGAGGGCAGTCCAGCCGTACGTACGAAGTACCCCAACAACAGCGGAGGACAAAACGGAGAAAGAGACGTGCGCTCACTCGCTGCCCACGCTTCCACCTACCCCGCTGCCCTTTTTGCAACTCCCACGCCCTCACGCCCACATATCCCACGCCCACCGTCCCACGTCCCACGTCCCATACGGCCACAGTCCACCGTCCACCGTCTACGACCAGCCAGCGAGCGACCTTCTCCTCCCAGCCCAAGAATCCACGTCCCAGAACCAGGCCTAAGACCAGGACCGCCCCGCCGAACAGCCACCCCTCCAGCGCGCAACAAATCCTTGAGCTCGCTCCCCCGCCGTCGCTGCATCTCTTTCAAATCCAGCCGACTCCCGCTCTCTTGTTGCCTTTCCATACACGCGCCAGACCAGACGGAAAGCTGCCCATCGCACACCTCACATACCGCAAAACCTCTCCTTCGAATTCCCTCATATCGTCCAAATTCGAGCTGATCATCGAGCCTGTCTCTCGCTCATCACAGCAGAACCGTCAGCAGAAGCATAACTTGACCCGTCGATCTCCCGGCTGTCGTCTTTTTACTCCACCACCCCTCATCACTCTTTAATCCTCCCCGCCGCACGACGACCAATTTCCATCCTCCTCCCCGATCGGTCTCCCTCCCTCTCTCTTCCTCCCCCCTTCAGCCGCTCAATCCGAAAACCCAATCCTTCTCGATCAGGTAGATCGACCATCACACGAAAATGGCCGAATTCGTTAGAGCACAAATTTTCGGTACTACCTTCGAGATCACCTCGAGGTACTCGGACTTGCAACCCGTTGGTATGGGAGCCTTCGGTCTCGTTTGGTAAGTCTGAGAAAATACCATCCATCGCAACGAGCGCTCATTGCGACCATCCATCTGTACTGGCTGACACGTCTTTTTCGCTCACAGCTCCGCCCGTGACCAACTTACCAACCAGAATGTTGCCGTCAAGAAGATTATGAAGCCCTTCAGCACTCCCGTTCTCGCCAAGCGAACATACCGTGAGCTCAAGCTGCTCAAGCACCTGAGACATGAGAACGTACGTTTGATCCCGACTTTGCCGGCTTCTCTCCATATTTAGTTTGTTCGACGTGCGCTGATATCCACCTAGGTCATCTCTCTCAGTGATATCTTCATCTCTCCTCTCGAAGATATCTACTTCGTCACAGAGCTTCTCGGCACCGACTTGCACAGACTGCTCACCTCCAGACCCCTCGAGAAGCAGTTCATCCAGTATTTCCTCTACCAGATTATGGTAAGCCTCGCCCCCTCACCGGAATCCTCTCCGACACCCAATCTGACATGTTTTTGTAGCGCGGCCTGAAATACGTCCACTCTGCTGGTGTGGTCCACCGTGATCTGAAGCCTAGCAACATTCTCGTCAACGAGAACTGCGACTTGAAGATTTGCGACTTCGGTCTCGCCCGTATCCAGGACCCCCAGATGACTGGTTACGTCTCGACGAGATATTACCGCGCTCCTGAGATCATGCTCACATGGCAAAAGTACGACGTTGAGGTCGACATCTGGAGTGCGGGATGCATTTTCGCCGAGATGTTGGAGGGCAAACCTTTGTTCCCCGGCAAGGACCACGTCAACCAGTTCTCCATTATCACCGAGCTTCTCGGTACTCCTCCCGACGATGTCATCAACGGCATTGCCAGTGAAAACGTGAGTTGATGCAGAGCCGAAGCGACGATTCATTTGCTTACTGACACGGACCCAGACCCTCCGATTCGTCAAGTCCCTGCCCAAGCGCGAAAGGCAACCCTTGAAGAACAAGTTCAAGAACGCCGACCCCTCCGCCATTGATCTCTTGGAGAGAATGCTGGTCTTTGATCCCAAGAAGCGGATAACGGCGACTGAGGCGCTCTCGCACGACTACCTTGCTCCCTACCACGACCCCTCTGACGAGCCCGTCGCCGAGGAGAAGTTCGACTGGAGTTTCAACGATGCTGATTTGCCCGTAGACACGTGGAAGATCATGATGTAAGCCATTATCATTTGAAGTTTCCATGAATGACTTGCTAATGAAGTACTCTTTACAGGTACTCCGAGATACTCGACTACCACAATGTGGATGCGTCTGCGCAACAGATGGAAGAGCAGTTTAACGCACAATAGATGAAGGAGTCCAGGGGCGGAGCGAGGATAAATAGGAGAGGGGGGGCTATGATACCACGCAAAACCAGAACGGCACGTGTTTCCAGTACATTCGCACGCAATCATGGTGTTTGGAAGAGGGAATCGGTTATTGTAACGTTGACAATGCAAAGGGCCAACAGTATACGCGATATAAAGGAATGGCATGCATCTTGGAGGTGTTTTTCTCTTTTTCATCATCTTGTTCCAACAAATTTTCCTTTTCCTGGGTCTCCAGGTTCTGTTAGAATAAAGTCCGCGGCATAGGGCATAGCGACAAGCTGACAATGGGCTTCAAGGCCCTGATTACGAGGACTTGCTTTACCAATCAGGATGACGGCCGCTCTCCGGGATACTTGAATATGGGATGCCCTTTGCGAACTGGAGGTCTGTCTGAATTTGGGCGTAATAGCAGAAAATGCCGCGGCAGATAGCAACTGAAGAGAACGAAAAGAAAAAAAAATCATAGAAATCGTTCAGAGGATAACCAAGGCTTGTGATCTACCTCTGGCTAACTACAACCAAAGCGACCCAAACGATCGATGATCCCAAGGGGTTACCCAGAGTGCCAGAGACGATTGTGGCTTGGGGTGTGGTTGTGTACGTACAGACCCCCGCCACATATTGTGTGGTTTACTGTGTTGCCTCAGCCACATTATAGGAGAGTGTGGCTGCCATTTTGCCACAATTCGTCGCAGTTAGGATGGTCACACGAAGCGGAACTCTATCTCGAAAAGTTTCACCGTGACATTTACGTTAACTGCAAGGAAAATCATTTCATGATAGTCAGAAGGAGACATAGGTGAGTGACACCTAAGGTGAGATTCAAGGGGCGGGCGGGCGGCACACTCCGTCTGCACGGTGTAAAGGTGGTGGGGGATGGTGATTTGACTGGAGGGAGGGAGGAGGAGAAATTCCATCTCATGCAATGCAGGACACGCTGGCGGTGCTTGAGGTTAAGGTGAGATGAGGTTTGGGGTTTCCGGGAAGGGAGGGAAGGTTGACGTGGTGTTTTTGCCTCTCCGACTTTTCGTCGCTTTCACCGAGGTAGTCGGTCATGGACTGGGAGAATTTATCGTTAGAAGACTAGGAGTTGACTCCGGTTTGTTTTCAGTTTAGTACCTACGCCTTATGGGTGGCATTTGCGATGTTGCTGGGGCAAAAAAGGTTTGTTGATTTACAGGCTCAAAGTTTGGCTTCTTAGGTAAATTCACACCACCTTTCTCTCACCGTTTATCCGTCGTTGTTGAAGAATTGCACTTGAGGGAATACCGGTACACCACACATGCAGTTCAAAGTGAAGTCGCCTTGAGAAGGGGTAGCACGGGAACCGAAGTAGCGGGAAGAAGCAAAGTTGTGAGTCGTGAAATCGTGATCGATTGATTGATTGATGTGACGTGCCATGGAGACGTGGTCGGTGCTTTTTCCCTTCGGTGCATGGTTGACGTGTCTGTGGTGGACCACACGACCGGACCACAGACGTCGATGTCCGGCCCTTGGCGCTAGGCTGGTTGGGGGATCGGGGAGGTTTTGAGATGGATGTTGAAAGTCTGGTAGATAACGAGTGTCTACACGGTCTGCTTGGCTACTTTGTTCTTGGTGAGAAGCAGTTTGTTGTTGTCGTGGTTTCATTTGTTGCGACAAGTGTGGACTGACCATGATATCCACTGGGAGGGAAGAGTGTTAGACTACTCCGCGCTGCCTAGGCTTGTAAGCTCCCCGGTCAGGACTCAGTGGCTGTAGTAGAATGTCAAAGAACGATATAAGATGTCAATCAACTCTCAACCGTTGTATACTTGTCACGATGGCGAGTGCAGATGTCTGTGTGTGCGTGACAGCGTGCATTTCCAAAAAGAAAAAAAAAGTAACGTATCTTGCTACGGACACTTGAAGTTCGAACCGGGGGCCACGCGGGGTCACCGTAGTCGCCTGGGTATTTTCCTGAGCCCGTGTTCTTGCTACTTTTCTTTTCCCCTCCCCCCGTTGTTCTCGAACCTCGCTGGAACCTCGAACCCCTGAACCTGTCGTGCTTTCTTTCAATGTGGGACGAGTCGTTCGTTTTTAATTGCAACCCATCCCCGACAATTGACTTGTCTGGACCACTGTACATCCTTGGCTCTATTTAAAGGGGTCCCGTGTCCGCATAAGAGCGTTCTCATAAAACGCGGGCAGAAAATAAAACAGAGAAGCCAGATGAGCAAATGAGACTCGAGGGGCAGGACGGCAAGGAAATTACAATGAGAGTGGAAAGACTGGACTGGAAGTAGTAATAAAGTATTTTACTATACTTTTTTGCCGTAGTGCATTAGCACTAATTCCAACAACTCATCCACTATGCCCACTCTCCCGAACCCAGTCTCATTTTGAACGTTACCCGCCTCCGGTCCAATACAAAGCCTACCGCGAACCCACACCGCGAACAACCGTGCTGTGTGGTGGGCAAGCATTCGAGTCTCTCTATCCCCTCAGCTCTCAGGTTTCCATCTTCCTTTTTCTTACCACTCCTCCGCTCGTCGGTCCGTCACTCACGTCTGCCTTTACCTTCAGCTTTTCTCTCCCAAGAAAGGAGGCGGCGAATTGTCCCTTTCTGTGCTATTACTGCCATTCGACACTTCGTGATTAGCAAGGCCTTCTCCACCGACCGCCCATTCTTACAGCTGCTACCAAACGTCCCTTCCCAGGACCCTAATTCGCCAGTGCAACTACGAGGCGGCGGTCGAATCACCGAGGCACACTGCGCAACGGTGCAACCCGATACTTTCAGCTCACAGTTCCACGTACGCCCCATTCGCGCACCCGCGACCGCGCTCTTTCGAGAGGGACGAACCCGTCACCGCTTTCTGCGAGTTCTGCTTGGCGACGCCGGCAGGTAGCTTGCCGGCCGATTTCTCGAGGAAGGAAGAAGATCAGGCGGTACAGAAAGCAGACGCTTGCCCTTCCCTACATAATATCACGGCCCGCTGAGAGAGAGAGAGAGAGAGTCACATTTCTTGACGACCAATTCTTCGTATAGAGGACGATAACCGAAGCCGCCAATTGCTCTCTTGGAGGACTTGTGCAGATCAACATTCCCGGCAGCTTGTCTCACACTAGCCCCCCTTTGAGTGGACGGGGAAATCTCGATACTACGTCAGAACAGAAACCCGCAACCCCTCCTCGACTTTACTGGGGGTCGAATTAGCATACCACAAAGACGAACTTCGTGCATCCGCCCCGAGAGATCTCGACGCCGACAGAAAGACCTCCTCCCATCGCGAGGCTTTGCCGGCGAAGCGGCAACCGGTACCCCGAAAAGGATTGACCCACGCAAGCAAACGTTGGACGAAACGTGCGACGCACGCGAGGGGGATAACTGAAGGAGAAGAAAGAATCTAGACCAAGAACCGAGGAAATACATGGCAATGTCGTAGGAGTGGTCCGGTTGCGCCAAAGAAGTCGAATTACAAACATAGATTGAGGGATTCGCAAAGGAATTGGGCGGTTTTCCAAAGTAACCCAGACCTGGTTTCTCACGCAATCGACAGATTCGACGCATGTCCACGCCCTCGTCGGTAAAAGGCATCACCAAGAAAGAGTGGCAGACACGATAAAAAGGAGGGAAACATGGATACTCCCGAGGTTGCGACGCCGACATCAGGCGCCGCTACGCCCTTGACGGTGCCGTCGACGCCGGCCAAGCCAGATTTCATCCCGCTGGTCACGGTTGTCGACTTCCACCATGCCCGGGGACCCGAAGTTGAGATGTGGTTTGGAGCGGCGGAGGGCACCGATCCGGCAGTCGAGTACGACTGGGGCTTGCTGCCCTTCATGGCGTTGAGCGATGGTGCGCATCTGTGAGTCTCGACCCCTGTTCACTGTAACGCATATGGTGGTTGGAAGCTCTGCTTGGAGCCCGGCTGCTGTTGACGTCTCGGAGCTGGACCAGAAGCTAACGACCCGAACCAGATCAAGCGAGGACTTCTCCTACTTTACGCTTCTCCGTCCGGCCACCGCCACAGGGCCTGCGACGTCCCTGTTCGGCATATCCTGTACACGGCAGCTCGATGCCTCGCAGCTCCTGAACCGGCCCGCCGACGTCACGCGCTCGACGGTCCAGAAAGCCGTTGTCGTCATCGCCGACACGCCGCAGCACTTTGGCATGATGCGCGAGCGTCTCAGCGTCGTCACACAGGCCTGGTTCGCGCAGCGCGAGTTCACCGACACGGAGATCCTCCGCCGCTTTCAGGAGAGTCTGGCCGAGGAGAAGGAGCGCGGGTTCTTGACGGAAGAGGAGAGCCGCGACCAGTACCTCGGCATGAGCTTGCGTGAGCTGGTGCACGAGTTCAAGTCCCAGACGCTGATGCTGTTCAAATGCTGTTTGCTGCAGCCAAAGGTGCGTTTTCTCCTGGCCAAGTGGTAGATTATTGGGGGCTAACCGATGAGTATAGATGCTTTTTTTCGGATCACGATGTGAAAGATTATGCATGATGCAGTTTTCTCTTATTTCTCTGATACCCGGACTTATCCGTAATCTCGTTGACTGCGCCGACCCGGAGCTGAACAACTACGAGAAGAGGTTGGCGCGGCCCACGAGCTTGCGGACCAGCGATCGCAACTCTCTGCTCACCTACATGGGCTTGCCCCTGCAGATTTTCGGCAAGGTATGTATGTTATTGCCATGTCAAGGGTCCTTTGACTGACGACATCAACAGGGTAGTCTGTTTGGTCCATACACCCCTCTGCAGCAACTTGACATACTCGCCGACTTTGGCACCAAGTCATACATTGTGGGCAGCACGAATTCGCTCCTTCTGCAGCAGAGGGACCGCTACAGCGACATTTTAATTAATCTCGACGAGCACACCGTCAATGTCACATCGTCCTCCCTCAAGAACGCCCTGGCTCTGTCAGCTGCAGACCGCCGCTGGATTGACTACATCACCCAAGTAGTTAATGACACTTGGGACGAAGCCAACCCTCAGCGTCCAAACACCATGGGCTACGTCGGCAGCGAGGAGTTCATCCGCCTCCAGTTTGAAGAGTACATACTATCTCTGGTCTCTTCGGTGAAATACCGCAACCACCTCCATGCGCACCCGAATAACCCGCGGGCGCTCCTCCCGCATATTGAAGGCGACCCGTCCCTCGACTACGGAAATGAATTCATCGAATACTGGTCCCGCACCGAAAACCACCGCATCTGGAACGGCAACACAGATTCCCACCTCTTTGACGTCGTCGAGCCGCGGCACCCCTGCGCCGGCGGTCTTACGATTGATGACGTGCAGCGCCGCATCGCTCAGCAGGTCCAGGATATGCACCTGGACGAGCGTCTCGCTGTGGGTAAGGAGGTTCTCGGACGCAACTTTGCCGTGGGCAAGGAGAAGGCGTCCAACATGTTCAACAAGTTCTACTCTGACCTGGAAGCTCTCCGCGAGGCACAGAGGAAACGGGCCGAGGAACAGCGCCTGGCTCAGGAGGCTGCTGCCGCGGAGGCCGAAAAGGCAGGCGCGCCCGCCGCTTCTGCTGCGGCGACGGAAGGGGGAGCAGCCGCCAAGGCGCCGGGGAACTCTGGCAACAAGGCTAGTTCGTACGTGAGTTCGTGGGTTACCTGGGCGGGCGAGAAGCGCAAGGCCGGGTGGGGTGGAGGCAGCGGCAGCGGCAGCGGGAACAGCACCGTGACGTCGCCGACTACAAGTACCAGCGGAGGGTACGGTTGGGGCCGCGGATGGGGCAAGTCCAAGACGGACGCTAGTAAGGCTGGGAATGGCGACAGGGACTCTGCTTCAATCTCGGGGTCGCGGGTGTCGACTTCGTCAGCGGGGACGGAGATCAACGACAAGAGACCGCATGGGGAGAAGCACGATTTCCAGCCGCTGACGCAGGGGACGTATACGGAGTCGATTCTGTCGACGGGGTCGATTGAATCGGAGACGCCTGCGGGTCACGCGAGGCCAGAGTCGAAGGATGGGCCTGCGCCGCCTACGGCGGTAGGAGCTTCCAAGGGGACTGGTCAGGTCGATGGCAAGTTGAATGGCGGCGAGAGCAGCACTATGAGGACAGTGGCTTCTGAGGCTGACGTGGAGGAGAAGAAGGGAGGCTCTGCCACCGCGGCCACGAGTGCTCTGCCCACTAAGGCGCAACAGCCACAACAGCAGGAGAGCGACGACGACGACGACGAAGTTGAGGAGTCCAGGGCGACGGCGGCTGCTGCGGAGGCTGCGGCCGAAGCGGCCAAGGCCTGGGGTGATGATCGCCCGTGAGGAAGAAGAATCAACTCCTATGAGAAGGGGAAATCCTTCCCTTGGAGAAAGAAGAATGAAAGCATGTTAGCAGGCCGAGACGATAATGGGGAATGATGGACATGGGAAGTGGAGAAATATCAACTACAGCACAACACACAAATTCCTGCAGAGAAGCAAAAGGATCATCACAGTACAGAGTTGTACAGAGTATCAGCATAGCGAAGCATTTGTTGGATGGGGGTCCCGATTACCAGGTGTGGATTGGGAAATATGGCGCGCATGAAAGAACCACATCAACAGGAGGCCCCGCCCCTCCCTTTGTTCTCTGGTTATCTTGGTTTTGTCACCAATCTGTAGCTTTAATCGTCATATATATTTTTTTACATGCGGAAGAGATTGAGAAAGCTCGTTTAACGGCCTTGGGTTGGCTTGGCGGACACGCGGGGTTTTACCAATGTACTACGGTTTGCGTGTGCTGGAAAGAGATGACTGGGGGCCGGGACTGGATAGTACGGATCGGAACAGATGAGATCAATGAGAAAGAAAGCACGATTCGCAACGTTGTGTGACTAGGTTTTTTTTTTTTTTTTTTTTTTTGAATCCGTGACTTGGGCATACACGAGGCGGAGTGTCTCGGTAAACTTTGTCCTTTCGTTGCGTCTACTGACGAGAGGTAAGACTAGATCCAGGGCGCTTCCATACCTCGTGCTAAAAACACTGTTGACCTACAAAAGTGTCACGAGAATTTGTCGACGTAAAAGGAATTTCAACTTTGGTCAAAGGAGGAAGGGTGAGAGGGAAGTCCTCTTAATGAAAGCCGACGCCAGGTCCATGAGGAGGCTTTCCCCCCTCTGCTCGAAGCAAGACGACCATTTCGCATCTTGCCGTCCAGTCGAGTCTCCTGCTTAGATGCTGTTCCGAAGCGCACTTATTTTATAGCAAGGGAAATTTCAGGAGACGAGTTAATTATTACACGCTCTGACCCTTGTATATTGCTATACAGAAGAGTATTAGTCTCGGAATATGTTGGGGATGCTAAGCGTTAAGGAGAGGCTCTGTTGGCTCGAGGTAGAGTTGCTAATCATAGAAGTAAGGCCAGCTAATATCACCGCAAGACCCAGGAAGATTGCAGAGACTGGGTCTCAAGTGATGGAGCATCGACTGCAGTCTTGGCCGTCTTCGAGAAGCCAAAGGTCCCTGCAGATGCCATGCGCCTGGTGTGAGACCTTGCTTTGTTACTTTTACTTGGATTTATATTCGCGACGGCGGGATCGGCTGAAGGTGCCTGCTTCGTCGACTGTACATAAGCTGACCTGTGGGCGCCTGTCAAGCTTGGTAAGTCATGGCCCGGTCGCCCAAGCAAAGAACTGTGGGAATTCACGCTTTTCTCTCTTGCTCCGATGGCTTTTTTTGCCCATCTTGAGAAATGAGAAATGAGGAAGATCTACTTGGTGCTATCTAGAAATGTTGTCAAATTGTGAGAGCGGAGAAGTGCAGTTCTCTTCTACACATGCAGCTTCCTCCATGGCAGAATATTCATCCCTGAATACGGTCTGCCTACCCAGTATTCTCTACGGAACGGAAGTTCTCTCGGCCTAGCCGAAATGCCGCTTCGATCATTGTTCCTGATCGTCTCGTCAAACGACCTGCAGATTCGTCACTTCAAACATGGCGAATCATCAGATCACGGTTACGGGACCCTCACTCCTAGACCGGCTCCTGAATCCACTTCATTATCTTTAATGAGGCCATTTCTGTAAGGTTACTCTTTATACTAGTACAGGTTGTGAACTTATTTGAAGATGGAGTACCTATTAAATGCCCTTTCCGAGGATGATGCGGTGTGCCCTAATTGTTTTTGGTCAAAGACAGATGTCGTTTGAATCTTTCAATCGTTACTGGGTATTGAAAACTCCTAAAAAAGCAGGCCAAGAAGGTATCGTCATTCAAAGAAACAGACAAAAGAAAACGTTCACCGCATCGCCAAACCAACCCGAGTCCCTATCCATCCTCTTCACACAACCGAAGGCCGCGGCCCCGACGAGACCATGACATGCCCAACGCTCGACTGCCTCGACGCCTTCCTGCCGGAAGAGAACCTCTCAAAGAAGCCCGCCGTCCCAGACTTCCTCCTCTCCCCGCTCGAGATGCTCGACCGGTCCGAGACCTCGCGGATCGAGGCGGCGTCGATGAAGGTCTGGGGGAAGATACCCCAGACGCCTTTTGCGTTGGTGCCGGACCAGCACCAGTGATCGTGCCATGCCCCTAGATGTCTTGTGTAAGCACACTGAAGATACTCCGTACGCGCGCACCATGGAAACATCTACATAGGAAGGGAGGGGGGAAAACGACTTACAGCTGATATTGGTGATCCTCTCGCCCTGATCAAACTTCAACCAATCCCCGCCATCCTTCGGCCTCGGCGCAAACTTCCACCTCGCCACAGCCGAGATATTACTCGCCGTGTCCGCGCGAATCTCCGCCTTGGGCGGCGCCTCCAGCTTCAGCACATCCAGCGGCGCGGAACCGAAATTCCCCTCGTGCCACCCCATCACCCACTCCCCGTTGTACTTTGCCGGGAACTCCACCCCGCTCAACCTCGCGCCGTTTGCGAGCTCGAACCCGGGCGTGTTATCGTACAGCAGCCGCATCCCGTACATCCTCTTGACCGTCTGCGTCGCCGTCGCCGTCGGCAGCTGCGCGAGCTCGAGCTGGCGGCCCTCGATGCGCGAGGGCCGGGGCGCGGCGCGGAAGTGCAGGTCGTAGTTGTTGCGCAGGTGGAGCGGTACCTCGCCGCCGCCCGTGGTTTCCGAGGTTTCTACGACTGTGATGCCGGGTACTTGGGGTAAGGGGCGCGGGTGCCGGGCGAGGTGCTCGAAGAGCTTCTTCTGGCTGAAGAAGACTGTGGCGTCGCATTCTTCGAGAGTGTGTTGGGCGTGGACGCAGAAGACGCAGCCGTAGAGGAACTCGTCTGCGCGTTTGGTGGCGACGTGGGATTTTTGGAGGAACCGGGGGCGGTAGGAGATTTTGTTGGAGGTGTGGTTTGCTTCTTCTAGAGTTTGTCATCATATTAGTGAATCCCCTTGAATCAAGTCAGACATCGATATGTAGAGTCGAGTGCGTACCGGCCTTGTTGATGTCGTTCTCGACCTGTTTGAAGTCGAGCTCATAGGAGCAGCTCGAGCACTTGGCGACCTCATGTGCGCCAGAGAATCCCTTGCAACAAAAGTTAGTCCGTGTGTACTACATGGAGAAAAAGGGGGGGGGGGGTGGCGTTGGGACGTTGACTACTCACCGGTTTCTTAACCTTCTTCACACCGAGACCTCCGCGCGTGACCTCCTTGGCACCCTCACAGAACCCCTTGTACAAATAAAACGAGCTGCTCAACCCAATATTACAATCCTTTGGCCGGGACGAGACCTGAAGCGCCGCCTCCCTTCCCTGCGAAGAAGACTCCGACTCGACGGGGATCAGCCCCTCGCCGTCGCTCATGACCAGCGGCACCTTCTCGATGCCCTCGTGGACGCCGGGCGGGAAGTTAGGCGGGATGATGGGCGGCGGCCTCGACGTCGGGCTGAGCCGGCCACCGTCGTGGGCCGAAGACGTGGAGGCGCGGTGCTCCGTCATGGAGGGGCTGATGGCGCCCGAGTTCCTCCTGCCGCCGCCGCCGTCGAATACGGAGTCGTGGAGGGATTCCTGGGAGCGTTGCCGCGAGGCGTGCGAGTACATGGAGCTGGTCTGCGAGTGCCGGTGGGGCCGCGGGGAGTAGCCTCCGTTCACGTTCCGCGGGGTCTGCGTCTGGTCTTCCGTGACGATACCTAGTGTCGTAGATGACGCTCGCCCTCGTGAGATGAGAGGGTGGTTTCTATCCGTCATCGATACCGGTGATCGCGTGAGGTCCTGCGGGCTCATTTGGTGGTACCGGTCTTCTTCTGAGAGGACGCGGTCGGCGGGGATCTCAAGCCGATGATCTGAGCCGTGCGAGACTCTGCTCATGTTCTTCGGGCTGCCCGGCTCAGAGATGGGCGAGCTCATGGAGACGGGCGGACGACGCTCAATGTTCATCTCGCCCATTGGCCCTTCCAATCCTGTCTCGATCATGGGGCTTGCTCCTATACTCCACGGGTTTGTCGGAGGAGGAGGCGGCGGTTGCTGCTCGAGGACCTCCTCCCTGACTCTTGGCTCTGGCTCGGTTGGTGCATGTTGCTCTTCCTGTGGCTGGAAATGATGTCCCTCGTGGGACGTGGTTAGACTTCCGTGGCCTTGTTCTTGGGTCTCTATCGTCGAGTGGATCTTTGGTCAGCTGCTTGATTTTTTTATCTTTGAATTCATGGGGGCAATGGCTATAGTTACCGAGTGTAGCCGGTGGCGATGTCGCGATAATTGGAATAGGAGGCTGCTCCCGCGGCGCCGGCTCCAGCCTCATCCTCTTCAAGATCTCTCCAGTCCGGAGGCCGGCCCTCTTGCAGAGCTCCCGCAGCTCGACATACTTTTCCTTTTCATACGTGTCTGCATCGATTACGTCTTCAAAGTCCCATATCATGTCAGTCATTTGTGACCTGTAGTCGGCGATCTCGTCTGCATGGATCACAAAAAGGGTCAGTTAAACGCCGTCACTATATGTGTAAGAAAAGAAGAGGAATGAAACCGGAAATCACCATACTATCATCTTTGAGCGCATCTATAAAGTTAACGCCAGACTCCTCCAAGTGGCGTAAGCACAGCGGCTCAATAATCTTGAGGATGCGCTCGGCGCCCTTGACCAGCTTCTGGCTCTCGGAGAGCATGTCTCGGTCGTCGCCCGCATTTCCGAGCGCAACGCTCCCTTTCTCCACGACCTCCTCAAAGGGCCCTGTCACCAAGTCCTTCACGACGTCCATGGTCGGCAAAAGGGGGGGCCCGTAACTCCTTTGACGGTCGGTGGCCGTCTGGTCTCGGTCTTCCGGCGGCGGGGTTTAGGTGGGGAGTTGTCGGCCTGGTTGGTTAGAGGTACACGATGGGCTAAGCCAGCGCGACAAGCTGGCAGAGGGTCATCCGAATAGTCATCCGAATAGTAAGTTTGAATCTGAACTTGCGCAATCGCCAAGTGTTTTGGGAGTTCACAATCACAGAAACTTTGGGAAATAGATCTTGGCAGAAAATATGAGAAAAAGAGAAGGAGGAAGAGAAGGAAATGCAAAGAGGACGGCAGGTCAGGATAGGACAAGGCTGTAGAAAAGCTACTAAGCTGAGCTGAGCAGATCAATTAGTCGGCTTCGCTCAGAGTCACCACCACAGAAACAGGGCCAGCTCTAGGCCGCAGGATAGATGGGCAAGGTATGGCACACAAGGACGGGACGGGATTGGAGATGAGCGGCTGGCGGGCAAGGTAGGCAGATGCAGGGCGCACCGCATGTCAGACTGGCCACTCTCTATCTCTCCCGAGACACGAAGCGCACCTCTGGGCCGTCCGTCTGTCTGTCACTCGAGAGATAGAGCGAACGAGCGAGGGCACAAGAGTACCGGTAGCCAACGGGCGTGGCTTGCTTCTCGGAACGCCTCCGCACTTCCAGTTCCAGTTCAGGTCTTGAAAGTTGACTTGAGTGACAAGCAGGCAAGGCGGTGCGGTGGTGTTGCGCCCACCTTTGCAAGCGAATGCAGGTGAACCTCGCCCCGGTATCAGGCTAGTCTCGCAAGGAGATCGGCATGGCGGGCGATGAAAAGAGTGTCAACATGTCTGCTGCATGTTCCAACGTGGAGGAGGGGGGAGGGAGAAGCGCCAAAGGTGGAGGAGGAGGCGTTCTGGCGTCTTGGATCCGAGGTAGGGCTGCTGAGCTGTCGCTGCTAGCCTTCAGAACCACCCCCCCCCCCCAGGCAGACCCGTTTGACTTCATCGGCGTGGCACATTCCTAAAGCTGGCTCCGCGATTGGTGTTTCTCAAGCGAAAGGAATGTCGCGGGCGTGACGGAGTTTGCTGGTAAGGGATTGAGGGAAGAGGGACGTTTGGTAGGGGGTTGTAAGCGAACAAGTCCACAGTGTCGGTACGTACTAACTGAATAAGCAAGGAACTTAAGGCACGTAGTACTGTGAGTCTGGTAGGCTCATCAGATGAACGCTGCAGCCACGAGGTCCAGCACAGCTAGCGCAGAGGCGCAGTTCAATATAAGCCCATCGACGTAACCCCTTAGAGTAAAGAGGCTCTAACGAGCATTTGCATCAATGTACAAGACTACGCCCAGCTGTTTAAGCCTCCCGATCTGCCTCGCCCGATGCGCAGTTTGTTTTTAGTGGTCATATGCCCATTCATTATGAGGCATTACTGAGTAAGGTCAGGTAGGCAACCCTGACACCAGACCTTATCTCAACTCCTCCATCGGTCACCCATTGTGGCCACCGACGACCGCATCACTTATGCCCCATCTTTCTTCACCGAACGGACAAATATTCAAGGGTTCGCCTGACTCTTATTTTGACCGAAACAAACGCCCGATTACAGACAGCAAATAACCCGTAGCTTTTCGGAAGACCCCGATTAAACATATTCGCTAGCAATACACGCCAGAAGAGGCATAACTCATGTTCTCATCAATAAGGGTTTGTGTGTATACTTTGTTACCTATCCATCAGTCCGTCTTTTGATCAACTGTTGATGGCGACCTCTACGCCTTAGTCGTATTTCCGGAGATGGTCTGAAGGTCTCATGTCAGAAGGTGGCAGTGGCGATCAAAGTATACAGCGACTTACCTGAGAAATCAGATTGCGACCAATCTGGATGGTCTCGGCCATACCACGTTGGCGAAGCCAGAACCTGTCAAATCGTCAGCTTGAATCTTCAACGTCGAGGGCTAGAACATCAACTCACGCTTCCTCAGCGCCTCCGTGGCCTTGGGTCGAGATTCTGCGAGCCTCATCCTCAAGAGCCTGCATGGTGATCATCTCCGTCTTCTCGATACCTGGAGTGGCAGCTTGGTCCGAAACACCTTGGCCCAGGTTCTCCTCGAGCAACCTCTTCTTCATCATGAACCGTTCCTTCTTCTCTCTCTGCAGTCCCGGGCTATCAAGCTTCTTCATGACGAGGCGGACGACGAATTGCGCGCCAAAGTAAAAGTGTTCCGAGAGGAGGATGCTAAGGAGGAGACCCCATGCCTGAATGCTTCCAGGAGTGCCGCGAGGCCCATCACCCTTGCCAGCGGATCTGCACAGGAACACAATCGAGGCGCTGGTAATGCTGCCCAACCAGGACAAGAATCCCAGGGCGTTGAGCCAGGGTCCGATCGAGTCGGCGCGCCACGGGATGGGCCGCCTGCTGCTGATGGCGATCTTGACCGCGTCCGATCTCATCTCGACCCAGTTGTTGACGAGGAAGCAGCAGGCTGTCAAAGGCCAAGCCACGGAGAAGAGTGAGAGGTAACCGAACTGGATGACCATTTCTCTGTAGTCTCCGGTAACATCGTACGTCTCAAGCTCAGCTTCGTTTCTCACACGCTCCAAGAAGGCGGCCTCTTCCGGCTGGTCCTTGATCTTGGCGGCGCTGTCCTCCTTGGACATCTTGGACTGCACCTCTCTGACCTCCTGGAACACCTGGCGCTTGACGTACGGCACGATGACCTCGGTGGCGAAGTTGACGACCTGGGCGGTGACGGTGAAGTAGAACATCTGCTTGCTGATTCTCTCGGGGTTGATGGAAAATTCCTGGGTCTGGAAGTTGACGTCCTTGGGGGTGATCTTCTGCGCAGTGGTCCGCCAGAAATCGAGGTAAGGAGTGAGGTGGTCGCCGAAGGGAAGGTAGACAAAAGTGGTGAAGAACAGGGCCATGTAGGAGGTCAGGAAGTTGAGAACGAACTCCTTCTGAACCAGGGCTGCATGGTGTGCGTCAATTGTCTCGTAGTTTTCCATCTCGGTCAGTCTCGTCGCGAACTTGGTGAGCACGGTAGAGAAAGTGGGCGTCATAACCACCAGAATGACGGTCGGGAGGAAGGCCAAGTAGGATTGGAAAGGCCCGTTGTACACCTCGTTGATGAAGATTTCCAGCGAGTTGCAGGTAACGATAAGTGTGCCCAGTACCACGATGCACGCTGCCGCGAAAGGGATCTGGAGAAGCTGCGTCTGCAGGCGCTTGATGGGTGAGTAGATCTTGACGGGCTCTCCGGTGACAGGGTCCTCGGCCTGGCGCTCGAACTCGAATTGCGGCCGAGGGTGCTGGATGTTGGAGACGCCGCGGACGCCCCACTGTACGGCGAGGTCGACTTCCCTCTGCTTCCAGAACTCGAAAAAGATGACAGACCACAGGCAGCTGACGAGAGCATAGAGCCAGGAGAACTGGCCAAGGAACATCCAAGCACCAAAACCGGCGGCGGCGGGAACGACGAGGAACTTGAAGTAGGTCTGCATGAAGGCGAAGTAGAAGGCGACGCTCTCGCCGAACTTGTCGCGAATTTCGTCGAGGTCGTTCTCGTCCGTCTGCCCCTTTGTGCTCACCCTCTTGATCCACTGGCGGTTGAAGGAGTGGTTGTGGAGGGGGAAGATGCTGGCGACGTGCTTCCACTTGCCGGACTCGGGGGTGATGCCGGCTCCGCCCTCGTTCTTGGGCTTCACCATGAGCAGGTAGACGAGGCGTAGGCGCTCGGCGTCGGAGACGGGCTCATCGCGGAGAGCCTGGGAGAGGTCCTTGTCTGCGGTGTTGGTTCGAGCGCCCTGTAGCCAGTCTTGCAGTCTGGATCGGTAGACTTGGTCGGCGAGGAACTTGTCGGCGATCTTGATGAAGACGAGAACGGAGCTCTTGTCGCCTCTCCGGACCTCGGTGGTCAGGCCGACATGGGTCAAGGCTTCGATGAGCTGGACGAAGGAAGCTTCGGCACTGGCGCGGTCTGAACAAGTAAATGGGTCAGTTTTCGTGGTGAGGCACAAAGGTAAAAGGGGGCTCACCCTCTTGGGGAATCTTGTAGTTGATGACATAGTCGACGCCAAAGTTGGTGTCTAGACCCTTGGTCTTCTCATCGCTGTAAAGGTCGCGAAGAGTCGCCATGGCTGCTGCGGGCCGCGAGTTCGTCCCAAAAGATCAGTCGTCGGGAGCTCGAGCACGGATGTCGTGTGTGCAGGTTAGCAAGTTTGGATTGCAATCGTGGAGATGGGGTGCACTGTTGAGACAAGATATGAGAGCTATCCAAATGGTCGACGGTGACGGGATCACACGATAAGAGAAAAGGTAGTAGGGGTCGCGATGGTCTTAAAGCCAAGTGCGAAAATGTTAGCCAAGTGGCTGAAAGTAATGACGGTGATGTCTCGCTTGGCAGGTTTTTTAGATGAACAGAAGGAGAGAGAGGAGCTTGGGCATTTGGCTGGTGGGATTGAGGGAACCGTCACGTCACCGCGCAGGGCCCCGACTTGGCCGGGGAGCTTTTTTTCAGGGAACAAGCTCCAGCCCCTCAATCTACGCAGTATGTACGAAGTACCTACCTAGTGCCCACCAGTCGATCCCACCACCGCTACGCCAAACATGGATTGGCGCTGCCGTGTCGCTGGGAAATGTCCAGTGGTGTTGTACCTCGTAGGCTTGTAGCACCGCAGCAGTGACAATGGTGGTGCATGGCTCGTGCTGCCCCGGCCTCCCTCCCTCTGGCCCCCAGCATAGCTGAACCGCCGCCGTGCCAGGTGCCGGCCGGCCCACCTCACTGTGGACATGGCGACACGCACTGAGTGATTGACTTCTGACGGGTGGACTGTCATTGGATTGCACCAGTGCTGGCTGGTGCTGTCATCGGTGGGGTTTCAGCTCGGGCAGCTGCTTGGAGCTCCCTCTGCCCCATGTGAAGATCCGTCCGGCCAACCTCAACACCACTTCACCTCACCTCACCTCACCTCATCTCACCGTATCTCACCTCACTTCATATCACCAATCTCA